GACCCAACCTCCAGAATTCCAGAGCTTACACTCCTCCATTACTCCATATACAGATGAATTCAGGTGTAACTTTCCTCCTCACAGGACAATTTAAAAGGACTCATTTTTTTTCCCCCCTCCCTCCCAGTCATCAATGTTTCCCAGTAAATGTCTTCCCCAAGGGATTTGGAGAGGGTGTGTCACTAGGGAACCATTAAGACTTTTCATAGTAGATAATTTTGAAGAGGAATGAATAAGAAGGCAGAAGTATCCAGGCTAAGATAGAGAAATAAATGTTCCAGGAAGCCAATAGTTCATGTATAAAAACATTGAAGGGAACAAGGTACGGTCTCTAGGGAAATCAGGACAACTATTTTATTTGCTGCACAAGGATAAGCTGGTGAAAACCTCCTTCGATCATCATCAGAAGTTCTCTGGGGCTGGGAAGGTGGCTCAGTGGTAGAGCGCTTGCCTTGCATGCACGAGGCCCTGGGTTCGATTCCTCAGAACCACATAAGCAAAAAGAAAAAAGCCAGAAGTGGTGCTGTGGCTCAAGTGGTAGAGTGCTAGCCTTGAGCTGAAGAGCTGAGGGACAGCACCCAGGCCCAGAGTTCAGGTCCCACAACTGGACCGCCCCTCCTCCCCAAAAAAAGAAGTTCTTTGGCCTTTGGAACTTTAAGCCGAGGATGGTAAAACCCAAGGAGCCAGGTACCAGTGGCTCATGGCTATCGTCTGAGCTATACAGGAGGCTGAGATCTAACACTCTCAGGGCTGTCTTCTGACTGTCTGGATTACAGACATGAACCACCACACTCAATTTAAGACTCTTAATTACATTCGTTCCAAGACTCTGTGGCAAAGTATGTGGAATGAAATAGACTTTCTAAAATCAAGAAGTCACTGAAATTCTAGTTTCAATTCTATGTTGGAAAATGGAAAAAGATAACAGAAAACAAACACTAGCATAGGTTCAGAAAACCAAGGTACCCAAAAGTCAGGATGGTTCAACAAAACCTTAACCAGAAGCCACCAAGTTTCACAAAATCCTAGCAATAACAGAATAAACAAGCAAAGGACAGGCCCAAGGAAATGCTGGCCACAGGGCCAGCCCCTGGGGGGTGGTAAGAAGCTGCGGAAGGCAGCAGGCCCGGTAGCTTCCACCTTCAGTCCTGGTTCAGCTGGCTCAGAACCCAGCAAAAACAAGTGAGTGCCTTGGGGCCTTAGATGCTCCACTCAGAAAACAAGAAGTTAAGGAAGTTCTGATAAAATAATCTAATGCAAATGCTTTGAGGATTTAAATTTACAAACAAAAGGCACTGTCAATTTTTTTTATCAGTAGAATCTAGGCAGATTGACTCTGAAGGAAGGTCATATTCTGGTTTTCCAAAGTCTACCTGTAGCTCTGGCTTTATTTTCAACAAAGTCTAACAGACAATACCCTGACAACTTATAAACCCTTTGTCTCAATTTAAAGTAAGCTGGATTCTGAAGCAAATGTTGATTTCATTTAACTAAGCTCTATTAAAGGAAAGTAAAAGGATTTACTAATAACCAGTTTCAACTAAGTTCCGGGTTGAGTTCCCGGCTTCAAATTCTAGTTGTTTTTCTCGAGCGCATGACCTTGGATGAGAGTTGACCCCTAAGCTACATTTTTCCTCATTCATAAAAGAGACAATAATACCCTCTAACTCAGCCTAGCTAGGATGATTAAATAAAGCAGATTAGTGAGGCTGTCTGATACACGGCAATTAACAAATATCACTAACTATTATCTTTAGAAGGTCTCCAGACTTTAATTTACAATTGTTGGAGATATCCCAAACAAGGGATATGGCAGGAAAAAAAACCAACTTCAATTAAAATTTTTAAATTAAAAATTTTTTTAAAAAATACCTCCAAAATATGAAGTATTTGAAATAATGAGCAATAAACAAAACCAACAATTTACTTTTTGGAGTTTCTGTTGGTCTAGGGCTTGAACCCAAGGCCTTGTACATGCCAGGCCAGTGTGCCATTCACTTTTTTTGTTACTGTTTTAGTTTGGGGTTTATTTTGGCTCATTTGTGTTTTTGGTTCTTTTTTTTTGAGACAGGGTTTTACTCTGTAGTGCTGGCAGGCCTTGAACTTCCTAGATAGCTGAAATTGGTCTTGAATTTGAAAACCTCCTGTTTTAGCCTCCAGAGTACTAGGATTATAGGCATGTGTTAACACATCCAACTTCTTTTCTTTTTTACTTCTAATACTCTGGAAAAGAAGTATCTAAAATTTAGGAGATAATAGTGCATGCCGAAATCCATAGAAGGCTAGCCTAGAAAACACATGAATGAAAGTGTCAATTCTTAGGCCCTAGAGATTGTTCTACATCTTTCAGCCAAGCTTTGAGAAGCAACACCTCGGTCAAGTATATATTACATTTTTTCTTTGCACTAATTTTATATAAGCGAATTGAAGAAGTCAATGACAGACAGAAAAACTACTGCAGGAGTGATCAACTAAAATCACCAGCCTCTTTCTCTCTCTCTTTCCTGCTCCCTTCCCTTCTCCTCTCTCTCCCTCCTTTTCTTTCATGCCAGGATTGCATTCCACTGTCTCGTGCATGCTAAGCAAACAGTCTCCTTGGAGCTACACTTCCAGCTATAGCCATACATTTCTCTGAACATTTACCATACAATTGGCCAGAGACATGTCAGCCAGACCACAAAAGAAACAAAGAAGGGAGCTAGGGATGCAGCTCAGCGAAGAGTGCATACGGCATTGCAACGCCCTGGACTCAAGCCCCAGCACCTCAAGAAAACCAAAGATTCAAAGAAAGCTGAGAAGATACAATTCCTGTGCTTAGATTTCAGACTAATGGAGTAAATTCAAGGTAAAATGGTAATATTTTACGGTTTCTGATGGGGTCAAACACACCAGAGTATCACCTGACTCAGGCCTAACAAGTGTACAGGAATTCCCAAAATAGAAGTCCATGTCATTTAACATGAAGTCAAGAAGCCTGGCATGAAGTGTCTTCCAGACAGAGGGAACAGCCTATCTGCTTGGCACTTTTCTGTTCCCTGCTCTCCATTGCTTTCCTCATTCCTACCATGGCCTTAAGGGCCCTCTGTGAACTGGCCCCAACACATGCATCTCCTATTACTCTCCTTTACTTCCTGCCTCAGAAACCCTGGCCTCCTTAAATAGGCCTGGTCCTTAAATAGGCCAGGCAATCCTCACCTCCAAGTCTTAATATCCCCAGCTCCACTGGCCTGGGAGGCCCTTCCACCACACACTGGCCAGCTCAGGATTTTCCAATGCCAACTACTCAGGAGTAGTTTCCCCTCGCCCTCCTTCCCTACCCCCCTCCCCAGCTAAAATATACCACACCCCCTTCAGAAAGTCCATTCCTAGCTAGCTATGATACCACCCTGCAAACAGAACTGGGACTGAGCATGTGACAAAGGAAGGGTAGAATCGGATGCTTTTCCCATCTGGCAAGGTGTGTGCCTGTGGATTTTAACTCCACACTGTGAAGCTACATATTCAAGTACACAGCACAGTTACTTATTTTCATTCTTACAGTGGCCTGAGGAGGTAGGTGATTTTGTTGCTTCCAGGTCACCAAGATGAACGGACAACAAACATTGAAACTCTGCTTCTTCACCATCATGCATTAGAATGTGACCACTTAGACCCTCAGCCCTGCATCCACTCACACCCACCACAGAGAGGTGACAAATGTGATAAGTACCTATTTCCCAACTCCCAGAAGCCTTTGTGAGGCAGCTATGGCTAAGGAGGAAGTTGCAGTGGTTCTAAAGTCCTTTCGTGAAATGTCACCTTCAATAAAAACAAAGAAAGAGGCCAACCATAGTGCTTCATTCCTGTAACCTCAGCACTTAAAGAGGTAGACGTAGGTGGATCATGAGGTAGAGGCTAGCCTGGACCATATACAGTGTCTCAAAATACTAAAAAACAAACCAAGGAATGAAGGAAGGCCACAGAGTAGCAGACAGCTCTAAGAGAGAACCCTGAGGGGATTTGAGACCCACCAAGGGAGTACTCCTGGGTGATTTGCTCAAGACAGCCTGAAGAGGATTCCATATGGACATCCTCCTCCTGAAGCCCTCTCACCACTGTCTAACCCTCGCCATGACCCTGAGCATCTACTGCGCCGAGCTGCTGTTTTGGGTTGTGCTTCTCTGGCTAATCACAAGACCACACCTCCAAATTCTATGACATCACTTTTTTTGTGTGGGGGTGGGTGGTCCTGGGCCTTGAACTCTGGGCCTGGGCACTGGCCTTAAGCTCCTTAAACTCAAAGCTAGCACTCTGTCACCATAGTACCACATCCAGCCTTTTCTGTGATTAATTGGAGATACATGCTTCATGGACTTTCTTGCCTAGGCTGGCTTCAAACTCCAATCCTTAGTTCTCAGCCTCCTGAGTAGGTGGGATTACAGGCGTGAACTACCAGCTCTCAGTTACAACATCATCTTTTTTTTTTTTTTTTTTGGTCGGTTGTGAGGCTTGAACTCTGGGCCTGGGCGCTGTCCCTCAGCTCTTCAGCTCAAGGCTAGCACTCTACCACTTAAGGCACAGTGCCACTTCCAGCTTTTTCTGTTTATGTGGTGCTAAGGAATGAAACCCAGGGCCTCATGCATACCAGGCAAGCACTCTACCACTGAGCCACCTTCCCAGCCCCAATATCATCTTTTAAGGAAAAAGGTGTTGTCATGAGCGCTCATGACATTTGTTTGATGGTAAACACCAAGCTCCATCCTTTCCTTGTCACCTCCGGGAGTTTTGTTCAATGGACTTCAATATAGAAAGAATGGCTTCAATAAATCCCTTATTAAGAATCAGGAATCTGACTTGATTTCTGGCAAAGAGGGGAAAAAAATGTGTGACAGAGTTTTCTCCTGGGAAAAGGAACCAGCCCACATGAAAGAGCCACACCGAAGTCCACATGAGCAAGAAGACCCACACTGCCTAGCTTTGTTCTGCAGGTAAGGGTGACGGGGCGGGCTACACGGACATACTTCTCGTACAGCCTCTGTCCTCGCATGAAGGCCTTCACCTCGGTGTCCAGCGGGAAGGTGCCGTCATCCTTCCTAAAGCGGTAGAAGAGTTTCACATCCTTGAACTCCTTATGTTCATCACACACTGAAACCAACACAGAGAATGATGAGAACACAGATCACTTTTATGCATTACCCGAGTGATGTAAGATGCTAATTGAGAATCTTTTCACCCATTCTTTTTGTTTTCTCCTTTTTTGTGTGCCAGTAATGGGGCTTGAACTCAGGGACTAGACGCTGTCCCTGAGCTTTTCTTTCTTTCTTTCTTTCTTTCTTTTTTTTTTCTTTTGTTCAAGGCTAGTACTCTACTTCTTATGGCTAGCGCTAGCCCTAACTCCACTTCTGGCTTTTTGTGGTTAACTGGAGATAAGAGTCTCACAGACTTTCCTGCCCAGGCTGGCTTTGAACCATGATCCTCAGGTCTCAGCCTCCTAATTAGCTAGAGTACATACAGCATGAGCCTCCAGCATCCAGCCTGGAAATGGCCTCCTCGGGGGAGGATGGGAATGCAATTGAGAAGAGATGCACAAGACACTATATATGTGTAAAATGTGTTATTTATTAAACGGGGAGTCACGCAAACATTTAGTCCTCCATTTCCTTCGAGTCACTCACCATGATGAATAATGCCCCTGTCTGCTAATTTCTGCATGAGTTTAATTGCTGTCTCTCTGTCAGAAGCCTCTTTGTGATCAATCAGCCAGTCAATCAGTTCTTTCGCCACAAAACAATTCGGGTAGGTTTTGAGATGATGCCGTCTATCTTTAATGACTTTCTCTTCATGCAGCCTGAGTCTAGAAAGAAAAAAACAAACAAAAATAATCACCTTAGGAATTTTCATGAGCACACAAATGATAAAACCAATCTCAGAGAAAAGGAACCAAATAGAAGCTCTGAGCCACAGAGTGCTGTTAAAATATCTGCTTGAAAGTTGGTGACTTCTATACTAGGTTTCTATGCTGGAGGTCCAAGGCTTCGGACAACAATTCTTCCCTCAGGTCCAGGGATGATATAGGTATTGCTGAGAGAAAAACTGCCTTGGCCAGTCTGTAACCATTCAGGAGAAGGAGAAGAGCTATCTCATTGCCTACTCTGCCTGCCTCCCTCCTCCTTTCCTCCTCTTCTCCCTCCTTCCTTTCCTCCCTCCCCTTCTCCACCAGTAGGCTTATAACTTCAACCAACCAATCACCAAAACTCTAAAAACCCGCTGGTGCCTTTTCTTTATCACAGACTGCTTGGGCCCACCACCTCTCTATTCCTCCATTCATATAATAGCTACTCATGCAGGACCACTAGCTGCCTGTTAGGTATTTCTAGGCACTAGAGTCATGCATCAGAAAGCGTAGACAGAAGTTCAAAGCCACCCTGGGCAGGAAAGTTGTAAGACCCTTATCTCCAATTAACCACCAAAAAAGCTGGAGGTATGGCTCATATGGTAGAGCACTTAATCTTGAGCAAAAGAGGCTCAAGGACAGAGCCCAGGCCCTGAGCTCAAGCTCTAGGACGGGGGGGGGGGGGGGGGGGGGGGGAAGCAAGGGGCAGGGAGGAAGGAAGGGAGGGAGAGAGGAAGGGAGGAAGAGAGGGAAGGAGGGAAGGAGGGAAGAAGGGAGGAAGGAGGGGAGGAAGGGAGGGAGGGAATGGAAGGGAGGAAGGGAAGGAAGGAAAAAGAAAAGAAAGACAAGAAAAGAATACAGGAGTGCTATTTTCTGGTAGACAAGATAAATAAACTTTACATAAAACTTACTAGGTTCTATGCACTGATGTGAGCTCATTACAGTGAATAAGTCCGTGGTCAGAACAATCTCCCTAGAAATTAGCTTTGCTGCCTTCATTTTTTTTAAGAGCAGACAGAACTGAGGTCTCAGATTAAGTGACTTTGCTTAAAACTCCACAGCTAGGGAGTTTTAAGGTGGTACCAATGAGCTCTGGGCCTGTTACTCTTGCTTCAGCCTGCCATGCAGCCTCCAGCTGGGGAGGAATAAGTGCAATGTCTGGGGAATAAAATGATTGAAAAGCTTGATGCAGTAGTTCATGCCTATCATCCTAGCGACTCGGGAGGCTGAGACCCGGAAGATGGGGGTAGGAGGCCTAGTAGGTAGATAAAGTCTGTGGGACTACACCTCCAAGTACCCAGAGAAATACTAGACTGCATCCTATGAGAAGAGTTGAGTACAAAGATATGTGACAAGACCGGGAGGAGATGGACATCCAAAAGCCACCAAAGAGACCTCACAGGAGGCCCGTGCTGCTCACGCTTTCCAGCCTCCAGAACTGGGCGAAAAGACAAGTGTGTTGTCTATGCTATGTAGTCTAGCTCTAGCACTCCTAGCCAATTAATCTAGCACCAAACACTGAAGACTGGAGGCTCCCAGAATGTGCTGGGACAAAGAGCCCGCTGGGGCAGTGGAGAGAAGAGGGAGAGGGAGAGATAAAGCAGGGCCCTAACAGCTGGAAACTGCACAGAAAGAAAATAACCATTACAACTGAGCTGTTGTTATATGCCAGTATTGTACTGAGCGCTCGTTACACGTGTTGATATAAATAATCCAAATGCAGAGCACCTCTCTATCTCCCCTGTCTCTCTCATTTTTCTGATTTATATATCAAGAAATTTGAAGTGGGTAAACAGAGGACCTTTTTATGGTACGTATTTAAATTCTGCTTAACCTACATGGACTCTATCGTTTGGAGTTTGTTTTTGTTTTTTCTGCTAACAGTACTCTGCCTTTCCCTGGGAAAACCATCCATTAGGTACTGCCATCCACATAGCTCAGATGTGATTGATGTTAGTCCCAGCACAGGATCCAGGCCTAGCCAATGAAAATATTCTAATCCTTGGGCTCTGTGTTTGGTTCACGGATGAGTACATGATCTAGGTGAGGCCAATGAAGTCAATCCCAGGAAACATGCTGAAATTGGAATTTCAGAGAGACACAAGTATCTTTTTTCAGTGAAAGAATGTCCCAACTATTTCATGGGACCTACCTGTATGAAAAAAAATCCCAAAACCAAAAAAAAATTTTTTTAAAAGGAGAGGGCTGGGAAGGTGGCTCAGTGGTAGAGCGCTTGCCTTGCATGCATGAGGCCCTGGGTTCAATTCCTCAGCACCACATAAACAAAAACAAAAAAGCCAGAAGTGGCACTGTGGCTCAAGTGGTAGAGCACTAGCCTTGAGCTGAAAAGCTGAGGGACAGTGCCCAGGCCCAGAGTTCAGGCCCCACAACTGGACCAAAAAAAAAAAAATTTAAAGAAGGAGACATTTGCATTCCAAGTATACTGAGCATGCTGTATTTATATGGCAGCCCTATGATAGGGGATGATTTATTAAACATGAAAGGGTGTTTATTAGATTTAATAACTTATCCTAAACAAACAGGATATTCATGCTAGTAGAGGACATGCTGGGCTTTTAGTGGAGCTCTCTCTTCCAGGGAAAGCTAGTTGCATAATATTGTTTAAAGCACCTGACTCATCATGTTTACTTAATTCTTGCAAAAATATTTGGCTTATGTGCTTGCAGTCAGACCACAGACAGCTTCATGCACTGAGCATCTGCTAGGAAGTGTGAGCTGTAAGGATTAGAATGGTTTGTGTTGTTATTTTTTTGGGATGATACTTGGGCTAGAAGTCAGAGCCTCACACTTGCATGCTCTACCATGCCACCGATACCCTCAGCCTCACATAATGCATTTGTGAAGCTGGTAGAGAGAAACTAAAACATAGAATCACTTAGAATCTCTTAGAAATGAACCAAATAAGCCAGGCATAGTGGCTCATACCTGTAATCCTAGCTACTCTGGAGGCTGAGACCTGACCATCACAGTTCAAAGCCAGCCCGAGCAGGAAAGTCAGTGAGACTCCTCCAATTAACCACCAGAAAACTGGAAGTGGCTCTGTGGCTCAAGTGGTAGAATGCTAGCCTTGAGCTGAAGAACTCAGGAACAGCACCCAAGCCCTGAGTTCAAGCCTCACAAATGACAAAAAAAAATTGAACCAAATAATAAAGTAAAACAGAAAAAATTGACTAGAAGTGGCCAACTTAGAGGTATGTAAAACCTAACTTCACTTTGTCTGTGTGCATGTGTGTTATTTCTTAAGATAGTATCTGAGTATATGTTGTACACACTGGTCTTGAACTCTTGATTCTCCTGCCTTATCTCCTGAGTGCTGAGATTACAGGCCTGCCCAACCATGCCCAGAAAATTATAATTATTTTTTAAAGCAACAGCCAAGGAAATGAAGCAGAAGATTCTGAAGATATGAGCTATAATAAAGAAGGTACTCACTACCCAAAGTCTTGATACAAAATCTTCAAGATCTTCCTTAACTAACCCTGAGTTAGGAGACATGAGGCAAACAAAAACAAAAACAGTTGTCTGACCAGTGCCTGGTAGAAATGGCAACTGGGGAAAGGCAGCTGCAAGGGAGGAACTGTAGAACCAGACCTTCCTTCTAACAGCGCTGACTCTCTGATCTGACAAGAAATTGAAGAACTGAAATGGCCCTGTATAGTACTGAGTTCATTTGGCTATGTAAAGGGAACTGTAGAACAGGAAACTGGACAAAAATCACAGAAGTTTCTCCTTCCCATTACTTTGAACTCATAGGTTATTAAAAAAAAAAAAAGTGGAACAAATAACCACTGGAGCTGGGCACCAGTGGCTCACGCCTGTAATTCTAGCTACCCTGGAGGCTGAGATCTGAGGATCACAGTTCAAAGCCAGTCCAGATGGGAAAGTCTGTGCGATTCTTATATCCAATTAATTTGAAGAAAACTGGAAATGACACTGTGGCTCAAGGTGGTAGAGCACTAGCCTTGGACAAAAGAGCTCAGGGACAGTGGCCAGGTTGTAAATTCAAGCCCCAACATGGACCAAATTTAGCCCAGGGTAGAAAATGACATTGTAAGATATTTTAGGGAGGGGGTCAAAGTGATATCACTTACGTAGTATCAGACACATATAAAATGATGAATAAACATGCTGGGCGTGGTGGTATGGCAGGAGGCCATATCAAATATGTCCATATCAAAATAAGGACATGAGGGGGACAAAGCAAACCTGTGAACATTCTAATGCAAAAATAACTAGTAGCCAGGGGCTGGTGGCTCAGACCTGTAATCCTAGCTACTCTGGAGGGTGAGATCAGAAATCACAGTTCAATGCCAATCCTGGCAGCAAAGTCCATTGCTAGTTGACCACCAAAGAGCTAACAGTGGCTCGAGTGGTAACATACTGGCCTTGAACAGGAGAAGCTCAAAGACAGTGCCCAAGCCTTGAGTTCAAGCCCAGTATTGGCACTAACTAAATAAATATATGGGAAAAAAGGAAAATAAATTAGGAAGAAATTATGAAGTAGGTAAAAAGAAGAATATGAGATCATATTCAACTCGAGAAACAGAAATTATTCTAAAGTACCGTGAACTCTGATAGAAAAAATAAACCCCAAACTAAAAAGAACAAGAATCCAGGAAAAAAAAAAAAAACTGATTATAGAGAGATCTTAGGAAACAAAAGATGTAATCAGACAACACTTTCATCAACAAAGTACAAACTTCTTTTTTTGTTGGTCGTGGGGGCTTGAACTCTGGGCCTGGGCGCTGTCCCTCAGCTCTTCAGCTCAAGGCTAGCGCTCTATCACTTGAGCCATAGCACCACTTCCAGTTTTTTGGTGGTTAACTGGAGATAAGAGTCTCATGTACTTTCCTGCCAGGGCTGGCTTTGAACTGTGATCCTCAGATCTCAGCCTCCTGAGTAGCTAGGATTAGATGTAAGCCACCAGTGCCTGGCTTCAA